GGGGGGGGGGTCGCAGCAGCTGCCAGAAGCTCTCTTTCTCTCCGCACGTAATCACAATCTTCCTTCTTGCGCTCAGCTAAAATTTCCCATCGTTTTCAGTAATTAATAGTAAATCTGAGTTCAATCCCATCCCATTAACTGTATCAGACAGCTACAGGTAGCACACAGCTTCAGGAACTGCACACAGGAAGCCAAGCAGAGACGCACAGAATGTCTTATCCTCACTTTACCTGCAGAGGCAGCTTGGACGCGGCACGTTCGTGTTGAAATTCAAGTTTTTCTTATGGAGCTACTCAAGCTACAGCTAACGGGTCTATATTAATAAATCTGTAATAAAATACAGCTGATCTGCCCCTCTCAGATAAATATAAATACAGATCCTGACTCATAGAAATTTCTATTTTTATTGGAAGCTTATCTTTCACGTGCATTGATTGCACATGAAGCAGAAAAATCATGCTACCCGTTACACGGGTTCGATTCTGCAGAACTTCGAGCACTGGTGTAGGATGCATGACACTTGTGCACAAAGACCTGGGAAACTCGCGCTACCTGTGTTTGAATTTGCCCCCCAATAAGTACTTTTATTCAGCAAATATCTTGGCAGCACTGTCGCATACGGTGCACTGTCTAAGAGGCAGTAAAATCAGAATTAATCTCACAGAAACACACTGTACACCATACCCTGTCAGTAAAAGATGCGAGATTGGGGTCGACTTTTTCTCTTCTCATTGGAAAGCCAAAGTATGCACTCTGCTGTAAGAATGAACACTATAAACTGATGACAGTATTCTTCCAAAGAGTCTGCTGAAGCCACACAGTAAAATATAATTTGCACATTTCAGTATACTACCTAACACGGCGTTAAGTGCCTATTGTGTCAGTCACTTCACTGACAGTGCGCATGCTATTAATTGCTACCATGGAGATAACTGCCTGAGGACAGGAAGTTCCACGTGGACCACTGTCTACGAAATAATGGAGGAACCAAAGCTGAGCAAACCATAACACCAAGGCTGATTCAGAGCAGAATTTATGCATGCAGTATTTTACAACATGAGCCAGGAGGGACACGATACACTGGGGTCTTCAAAGCTACTCGAATTAGGGCATATCTCCCTGGTTACAGTACTGTCAAAAAAGCTGGGCTTTGCTCTGGCAAAATCCATCTGTAAACTGTAAAGGAAATGCAGGCATTTACAGAAAAACACTGCAAAACATTACTGCATATATAGTCAACTATTCATGACACTGGCAGTAAGGGATCGTGTTACCTACGTTTTAAAACACAATCCGACTCTCCTTATAAATCACAAGTAGTGACAAATTATTTATATGATGTGTGAGTTTTACAAACTGCTTTCTGATTTCATTTGGCATCGTTGTACCAAAGTTTAAATTAGAAATTTCTGTCCCATTTTAATTGATTGATCTGACCTCAAGTATCTGTAATGATTTGTTCCTGAGTGGTTTTGTATCTGTATGGCCAAGTCAACTACCAAATGATGTTTGACATTTTTAATGCTTTACTTAATCCTGTCAACATTTACACCAGTTTTGACGACTGAGAATGATACTTGAACACTTATCTTGTACTTTGTGTATAGTATTAATCCACAGAGAACAACAGTTTATAAAAGTCATACATTCTTCCCGGTAGCTATGGGAGGATCGATATGGTCACAGAGTGACAATAAAATGAAAATCCAACTTATTAAAACTGTTGAATACTACAGGACTGTCAAATACGGTAATACAACACTACAATTCTGCCAAAACTGCAATGCCAGGATAAATGCTGAGGAAAACATCACAGCCTAAACAAGACTAAAAACTAGTCTGACAAATAATAAGTCACCATTGCTGAGATAAAGTAAACAAACCTTCCTATAAACTATTGCCGCAGCTATTTTCAAATTTGGGTTAAGGTTAACGTACCCCCAGAACATTCAGTTCCTTCACATTAATCATCAACACTTTAGGGTTTCTCCCCTAATGTGGAATGTTCTACGACACATAGTTTGCATTTTGATACACGTCCTATGCTAAAGGATCGGTACTCCGGTTTTAATGGGATTCAGTAAAATATTTCCCATTGTCTGAGATTCCACCTCTGCCGAGAGGTTTTTACGTGACACAGATGATATTTACACCCGTCGTGATGCATTAATTTCTATGGAGCATCCAAGAACTTTCAAGTGTTGCATTTTCCACTATTCGCGATTATGTCACGATAACAAAAAGGCATGTGCTGTACATGCTTGTGAATTATGAGATTCTGGATAGCTACAACTGATCAGATGATTCAGCAACTGTTAGAGGCTCTGATACCTTAAACAGAAATAGCCTAATAAAGGAGACGCAGAATTGTTTGTCGTTTCGACGTGCAATTATAATAAATCTGGTCATTGAAATCACAAAACACCCTCTTCCTTCCTCACCCACCCACCCACAATCACATGCACGCACACTCACGTGTGTCCGTTCGCATTAACGCTACCGAAACGGAGGGTTTACCCTTACCTTGGTAAGCTGTGCTATTTTCTTACACATTTTAGTGTGCATCTGATAATCATACAGCTCCTGCTCTATGTTAGGGAAGTCTGCTGCAGTCCCGTTGCAGGCTCCAGAGGACTGCGTTGCCTTCCCGGAGCTCGAAGCCATGGCAGTCGGCGAGTTTCTTCCAGCTGAATGCAAATAAAAATAAAAATTTCCAGCACACTCAAAGATTTCCGCCTAGATTTTCCCCTGTTATAAAGGTGACCCCCATTCTTCGGCGAAAAAAACACACACAATCTGCACTGCAGCGAATGAGCTTAAATGGTATATAATGCCAGTCTATGTTTCACCACAATCGCCAAGTTTTATTTCAGCTGCCAGACGCCTTCTGCGGTCGGATGCAACACATTCCGCCGGGGAAACAGGAGCAGCACACGGCTGTCAACATTGCTCTTGGAAGCAGTATGTTTCATAGACAGGGGCTTTCGTTCCCACCACCTGTCTTTCAGCAAGGGCGGAGAAAACGGGATTATGCTGTTGCACACTACCAATGACAACTAGCATTGCCGTATTATAGCCCCACCTTAGGGAATACTTAGCGCTGCTCTTCTGCTAATAAATAAATAAAATAACAAGCAAAACAGAAAGTAGGCTATAGAAACAAAAACACAGCATTGCCTTACGCGCATTCAGCACCCAAAAGCCCAATCACGGAAAATGCAATGTAGGCTAATCTAGGTGGTCATGTAAAATATATGTATATATATATATATATATATATAGGCTACATATATATATATATATATATAGTATAATTACTACCGGTCACTCACAAACGACCAGAACACACCAAGGAAAATATTCTTTCAAACAGTCAAGTACTGTACATATATACTATACATAAAAACTATCAGCTACATAGGCTGCATTATGTTTTACTTACAGAAATGATAAATGATCAGTAATCATTTATATTTTTCACTGTCCTACCCAACCACAAGTGTCTACCTTGGGAACTCAGCCTCTGGATACAGTGGTTTTAACGTACTACTTTAATGTATAAGCACAACGACGTGCCAGTTTTTGTGTTAAATCCATCTAAAGAAATTTGTACTGCAAATATAGGGGCCTTTAACAGTTAAACTAATGGTATTGCAGTATTGCTGATAATCTAGTGGTGTTGCTATATCGCTATTGTATAAACCAACAAATACATTTATTTTTTTATAACGGAGGGGGTTCGAAAAAGTGAGCTGCTAATTAACATAAGACCAGCCCTCACTAAAGTGCCATGTTGCTACAATACAGACACTGGGGTGGGGGGCGGGGATGAGGGGGGCATCTCCTTCAGTACATAATGAAATTGGAGTTAAAATTGGAATTGAAACTGTATTATACAAAACTAATTATTTTAATCTAATTGCCACATTTGATAGCCAATAATAATACTCCTGGTAGCCCAGTGTATGGGGACATGTTTCAGTCAAATGTGAAATGGCAATGTTTATGCATTTTTGTGTCAATGTGTTCATTCATTACACTTTCTTAGAAAACACTGTTTTTCAACGCACCATTAACAGCTTAGAATTTCCCACTGTACCCACTGAAGCTATTCTATGTTCTATGAAACCTGCCCAACTATGTACCCTTCTTAATAACGGAATAGCAGCTACGCCATTACTAGGACTGAATTTCATTCATAAGTTTATTCGTCGTTATCGGTATTTACTTCAGTTATAGTTCATGTTACTATCAAATTTACTATCTTGCAATGAAATTATGCGCGTGGTACACTCTATTTCTTGCAAATACCAAAAATGACAATTACGTTTACGTCAATACGGAATGTGTAATTTATAATTCGACAGATACTTCCTCGTTTCACTCTGCACGCTGTCTTTATGCATTGAAAGAGAACGAGCGAGAGAATGCGAGAGCGAGGGGAACTATCGCGAGAGTTCTCGCGAGAATACATTTCAAAACTGGCGCGGTTCGTCAAAACACTTTGGAAATACAGACCGTTTGCTTAGTCAACCAGAAGTAAGACTTCTCGGTAAATATTGCATGGTTTTTCGTCATTCCATTATTGATACTCGGTTTGTAACGTATTGTGGATTTGTAATATACGTGTTTATCCTTTATGTTGCAAATTTTTTTGTTCTAAATTTCGCGAAGACGTTGGCCGTTAACTATATACTTGCTGGCTGTGGAGTTGGGTAACCATTTACTAGTACTGTTCGTTGTAATATGATTTTCAGTATTTCAGAGTAAATCGTTTGGCGTTAAGCTAATTTCGCGTGTACCCATTTAAATATGCATATTTACTACTTGATTGATGCTGTCCTGTTAATTTACACCGCTTTTTTTTTTTGTCTGTGTCTAGTTGTTTCCTCTGATCGTATTTGTGACGACAATACGGTTTTAATACGTTGCTCTTTGGTTGTTTAACCAGGCACGGAAACTTTGACAGTATTATCTGTTCGTGACGCGATTCAAACTCCCAGAGGGCAAGATGACGGCCGACGCGGAGCTAGAGATTAAGGAGGCGTTTCTGAGGGCGCAGAAAAGCCACAGCAATAAAGCCAAACTCGTGGTCGCTTTGAAGAACAGATACAACAAGGTGATCCACTCTGTCATCCACTATTTAATAAGCAGGGCTGCCAACTCTCATGCATCTGGTGTATCTAATCTGTGTTATTTATCTATGTTATTCCATTATACACCTAAAATTTGTTACATCAAAAGCGTTGGGGTAGCTTGCCAATCGTACAGATTATTTTCAAGGTAATAAAAATTTACATACATTGTATGTGTGTGGAGAATTGTCTGAAATTGAAAATCTCACGCCAAGCAGCTGACAACGTTAGCAACCCTGAATATGGCTACTTGAATTTTACATTGATTATACTAGTATTCCTTCTGTCCATCAATTTTCTATACCCGCGTGTCCAATACATGATCTCAGGGGTCTCGACCTTGTTACTTGTTATTCGTAATCGTTAATTTTAATAAAACGGCGATTAAGGTTTACCCTGAGAAAAATGTTAAGCTTTTCTTTTCCTTTCAGCTTGAGGACAAAACCCTCTTCCACGAGCAGTTTGTTCATTACCTGAAGTATGCCATGATTGTCTACAAAAGAGAACCTGCCGTCGAGAACGTTATTGAATTTGTGGCCAAGTTTGCTACAAGTTTTGAGGTTCCGGTGGACAATGAGGCCGAGGAGGATGATGAAGAGGAGGAAGAAAATATTTTTTTAAATTTTCTGTTTAATTTTCTGCTGAAGGTATTGAAAGATCTCTATAATGTAAACTTTGGAAATTAGATGTAACATTTTATATGCATTTTTAGTACTTTCCTTATAGCTGACAATGACCTCATACTTGCCTTTCAGTCTCACAATGCCAACAGCCATGGGGTGCGCTTTCGTGTTTGTCATCTCATTAACAAACTGCTGGGGAGCATGGCTGAGAATGCCCAGATTGACGACGACCTCTTCGATCGCATACACGAGGCGATGTTGATCCGAGTAACTGACAAATTCCCCAATGTCAGAATCCAGGCTGCTCTGGCCATGGCAAGATTGCAGGAGCCTGAGAATGAAGAATGTCCCACTATAAAAGGTAGCTCTAAGCAACTTTAGCTTGCAGCCAGGTGGCTATGTAGTGCAACAATAACACTGTCTGATAAAAGCACTGAAAGAAGCACCTGTTCGCCCTGTTAGCTGAACCATTGCATTTAGACTCATTTTATAGAGAGCATGTGATTGCTGCAAATGGTAGACATGTGCCTTTATTTTTACAGTTTTCATGTGCCGCCTTTATACTCATCTAAGTGTTGTTTTCATTTTTTTCCAAAGCCTACATCATGATTCTTGACAATGACACTAACCCTGAAGTGAGACGGGCGGTGCTGTCTTGCATAGCTCCTTGTGCTCAGACCCTTGCCAAAATTCTGCGGCGAACCAGAGACGTGAAGGAGGCCGTGAGAAAGCTGGCGTTCCAGGTAGTTCTTCCAGATGACGATCATATGGAGAGATCCCTTTGAAAACCATATGAGCGACTGCATCTTTATTTCAAAATACCTTTGCCGTAGGTCCTTGCCGAGAAGGTGCACGTAAGAGCTCTGTCCATCGCACAGCGAGTCAATCTCCTGCGGCAGGGGCTTAACGATGTGTCAGGTAGAGTTAATTATCTTTTTTTCTCATTTAGGTTGTGGAAAATATACGCTGTATACTTCGAGCATTTTCTTGTCTCTTAGTATATCATACATTAAGTTAGATTGG